CCTCCTCCTTTCTTGTCTGGTCTGTTTCTCTGAAATAGATTGTATCCCCCTATTATTACATTCCAATCGTGGGACTTATCCCACCAGGTTTCAGTGATGCCTATTATGTCATATTTAGTTTGCTGTACCAAGAGCTCAAGCTCATCTTGTTTATTTCCATGCTTTGCGCATTAGTGTACAGACATTGAAGTCCATTAATCATTCCCCGTGTCTCTTATTTAAGGATTTTTTCCTCCCACCACTAGGTCTGCGTGCTGTTTGCTCCATTTGGTCTATGACATTTGGATGATCATCTTCATCAATTGATAGACTCCTACCTTCAGGAGCACTGTCTCCCTCCCCACATTAGTCAGTTTAAAGCCCTCCTGATGAGGTTTCTGAGATTTTTGGCAAAAACATTTCTCCCAACCGTTGTGAGGTGCAGCCCATCGCTTGCCAGAAGTCCATCTTCAAGAAACTGCAGTCCGTGATCTAAGAATCCAAACCGTTCCTGTTTACACCATTTGCGAAGCCAGCTGTTCACTTCCACTATTTTTCCCTCTCTCCCTGGGCCACGTCGTTCAACTGGGAGGACAGATGAGATGACAATTTGTGCATTTAATTGCTTCAACTTCCTGCCCAGAGCCTCGTAGTCTCTTTTGATCTTCTGGAGGCTATTGCTTGCAGTGTCATTGGTTCCCACATGAACCAAGAGGAAGGGGTATTTGTCAGTGGGTTTTATGATTCCTTGCAGTCGTTCAGTTACATCTTGGATCTTAGCCCGGGGAGACAGCACACTTCCCGAGACATCTTGTCAGGCCCACAGATCACTGCTTCTGTTCCCCTCAGTAGGGAATCCCCTATCACCACTACACACCTCCTCTTAGGTTTGGTCGGGGTTCTTCCGTGAGCTGTCCGTTCCAAGGTCGCCTGCACATTCCCTGAGGACTGACTTTGCTGCTCGTCTTCATATACCTGATTGACTGTAATGAGGGAGAGATCCTCAAATGGATTCTGCTCTTCGTCTTCCATGCTAGGGGAGAGGACCTCAAAGCGATTGTGGTTTCTAAACAATCAGAGCGAGCCCTGGGCCTCCTACTTATTTGAGTCATGTTTCTCCATATATCTGGCTCCTGTGTTGGTGAACTAGCCTCCTTCTCAGGGGAGTCCCCTGTCTCCTCCTTGGTGGAGATGGTGTGCTCTGTTGCTTCCAAGAAGAGCTCCAGCTCTCTAATTCTTTGGAGTGTAGCTACACGTTCCTCCAGTTGCTGGACTTTGTCTTTTAAGAGGGCAATCAACATGCAGTTGCTGCAGGTAAAGCTGCCTGCAACCTTTGGCAAGATGGCAAACATTGCGCAGGAACCGCAGGCGACTGCAGCTGTTCCCTCCCCCTCCATCTTGAGAATGTGTCTTTGGGGGTGGCTACAGCGGTCCTCCATCATAAAAAGCGTGAAGACAGGACAAATAACTCCCCCCACAAAAAAACCTAGGTCTTCCCCAACAAACGTTTGAGACTAGCTCCCCTAAATCTAAAAGATGGATCAAACTGCGCGCGCCACTAGGTGTGTGCCGCTGCCCTGCAAGCTCTGATAAGCTCCTCCCACAGCTAATCACCTGCCTCTACAGAAACCTTGCCCCCTCTGACCTTTGCAGAGGGAGAGCAGCTAATCAGCCACAAAGAAACACACACACACACACACACACACACACACACAATAAAACCCTTTTTGCTCCTTCTTCAACTGCTGCCCTGCAAGCTTGTTCCTTCCTTGCTTGTTCATGTGTAACTCATCAGTATGTAGAGCAAGGCTTCAATTTTAGCCCACACCCTTCAACATTTTCACCCCCAAAATTGAGACATCAGCAGGGTTGTGCCAAAAGGCGCTCCGGTGCAACCCTGTTGATGAGTGCCACAGTGGGTGTCTTTTGATCCACTTGAGCACCGGACCGAAAAACGGGACATTCCGGGATGCAAAATGAATTGGCGTCTGTAATTCAGGGATGTCCATCTTAAAACAGGACAGTTACCCCTAATTGTACTGTTTTAAACTGGACATCCCTGCCCCAACATCACACCCTTTTCTTCTACTAACTGCATGTCCTTTGAGGCTGCATGAGGAGAAAGCCCTATGTGTGAATGCCTGCTCATGAATAGGGGCTCCAATCCTATGTAGTCCCTACTCATGAGCAGGGACTCCTCTTCTAGGCTTTCTCCTCACACAACTGCACACGACACACGGTTAGTGAATGGAAAAGATATGACATTGGTGAGGGGCTAAAAGTGTCACTCCACTCATCTCACGCTGGGCATAAGGTGTGTGAATAGAGCTCATATAAAACAGATAATATTAGAACCAGCCGAGACAGCTGATCATCATCTGAGCTTCCTCAGTGCCCTGATTAAAGGGTGAGGTTTTCACTAGGTACTGGAAGGGGATATATTGGCAGGAATATGTAGTGTCAACATCCCAGCCAAACAGGTTGTGCCCAGCCACTGAACCTTTGTTGGTGGGGACCTCCCAAAGTAGGGCCACAAATGTGGATCAGAACATATGAGAGGTCACTTATGAGGAAAGGCAGTTCTCAAGGCATTCAGGTCACACGGTAAGAGTCAGGACTGTGAAATGAGCCTGGAAATGAACAGGGAGGTGCTAGAAACCAATGGGCTTATTTCCAAGTGAATTGATTTAGGTTTAGGGTATTAATGTCACTTGTGAATCATACCCAAGCCCCAAAATAATGTGTTTGTATGTGGAGAAAATGAGAAAGAGATGATAATAATAATAATAATAATAATAATAATAATAATAATAAATCTCCAGAAAATAAGGCTTTGGCATTTCAGACTGTGTGTGAGCAAAAGCCAGGATGACTGCAGCAATGTGTATTTATAAGATGAACTAAATTTAAAACTTTGAAGATTAGCTTCAGAATATATACAGATGTTGAACTAGGAAAGAGAAGCTAGTTAAACCTGGCCCAAAGAGTAAATTAAAAGAAAACAAATCACCTCTAACAATTTTGGGGCAGCGGCTTAAAGCCATCATCGGATGATAAATCAGTTTGCAGATGCTCTGTACAGCTGCTTAAAAAGTCCCAAGCCCTGAAAAACCTTAGCTAGAAGCAGCAACTGAGTACAGTCAGAGTCATGATATAAAACCAATTTCCCCAAAGCAGCTGCTATGAAGTAAATCCTAACTAACGGAAAGTGGTGAAAGCTTTTTTTTATATTTCTGTAACAAGAGCATGTGATATATTTAAACTAAGGCTTATTTATATCAGAATCTGGCCTCTTTCAAGTTTGTATGCTTATAATTCCTGAACATCTGCTAATCTCCCTGAATAATCAAGAAAATGTTGACACCCTGGGCAAATCCAGTTTTGATACCTTGGAAAATTACTAGCGGAGAAAGGCTTAATAAAAGGTAGATGAGGGAGACCCTTCACCAGCTGCCTCCAGACACCAGTCACAGCCTTGCTGACTCCAGGCCACTAGCCACAATGGCAACTGTGACACTCCTGGGCTAATCTGCTGCTTGTTTGGGGTGGATGAAGAAGGGAAATTGTTGCCATTGCCTGGGCTGCTGGGCTGATTTTTACTCACATAGTCCACTGAATGTAATGCAGCAGAGAGGAATGGCATCCAATTGCAGTTTTTTTTTTCATTCACAGCTAGCCATGTTATATTTTGAAAGTCTGGTTCATAATAGGGATGGCGGAGAAATTCAAGTATGTTTGCGTTTCAAGGCGAACCTATCTGATTCTCACTTTCTGAAACAATATGAGAATCAAAACACAGCCATCCTTTGAATTCGCAGTTTTCCAAATTTTGCAATGCAATTCTCCAACTAAGATTTGTTATAATAATAAAAATAATAATTTATTATTTATACCCCACCCATCTGGCTGGGTTTCCCTAGCCACTCTTGTTTTAAACATGTTTCCTTTATGGCTGTTCTTTATGATACAATGCTTGTGATTTGAAGAAGAGTTTGGATTTGATATCCCGCCTTTCACTCCCTTTAAGGAGTCTCAAAGCGGCTAACATTCTCCTTTCCCTTCCTCCCCCACAACAAACACTCTGTGTGGTGTGTGGGGCTGAGAGACTTCAAAGAAGTGTGACTAGCCCAAGGTCACCCAGCAGCTGCATGTGGAGGAGCGGAGACGCGAACCCAGTTTCCCAGATTACGAGACTACCGCTCTTAACCACTACACCACACTGGCTCTCCTGACCGTCCGTGGGCTGGATTGAGAAGGAGATTGGGCCGTATCTGGCCCACGGGCCTTAGGTTGCCTACCCCTGGATTGTATTTACAATACTAGGCAGAGACATTTGTGTTTGGCAAAGAGGTTTGTCTCAATGCAGCCGAAAAGGATGGATGCTTCCGTCTGAGGGTTTATTTCTATTTTATTATTATTATTATTCATTACATTTCCATACTGCCCTTCATCCGAGTATCACATGGCAGTTTATAATATATTAGTTTAGGCCAGTGATGGCCAAATTTGGCCCTCCAGCTACTTCTGAACTATACCAGATTACGAGTCTACCGCTCTTAACCAATACACCACACTGGCTCTCTATGCTATTATGAGACTGTGCACTGTGATCCACCTTTAGTTCACCTGTTAAAAAAAAGTAGGCATTAAAAAAATGGAATAATTGGAATTGTATGATGTCCTTAGCTGTTGGGAAAATGTAACTTCTCTTCCACGCCACACCCAGACTGGAAACGGGAAAGTCGCAAACACATTCTTAGAACTGCCTCCGTGGAGAGATGCATCCAGTTTTCTGCGCCAGCTTCGCTTTGCTAGATTCACTTGCAAAACAGCCTCCTTATCTCCTGTTCAGGAACGGGCAGTCCAATAATCTGGCCAAGACTATTTCTGTGCCCGGATGTGTCAGGGCCAGTGCTTTTAAAAATCAGCTTTAAAAACTCTTAGCATTATCTTCATAGAATTGTAGAGTCGGAAGGAACGATGAGGGTCACCCAGTCCAGCCCTCTGCAATTCAAGAATATTTTGCCCAATGTGGAGCTTGAACTCTTGACCCTGAGATTAAGAGTCTCGTGCTCTACTGGCTGAGCCATGGACAACAATTTAATTAGTGAGCTGACTTCAAAGTGTGTAGTCTTCCTTCCTTTACTGGCATATAAGGTTCTCACTGTTGTTAATAAGTTTTGAGAGGACAACTGGTCGCTTTGGATAAATTGTGCCACTGTATTTGGTAGGGACACGGGTGGCGCTGTGGGTTAAACCACAGAGCCTAGGACTTGCCAATCAGAAGGTCGGCGGTTCGAATCCCCACGATGGGGTGAGCTCCCATTGCTCAGTCCCTGCTCCTCCCTACCTAGCAGTTCGAAAGCACGTCAAAGTACAAGTAGATAAATAGGTACCGCTCTGGCGGGAAGGTAAACGGTATTTCCGTGCGCTGCTCTGGTTCGCCAGAAGAGGCTTAGTCATGCTGGCCACATGACTCAGAAGCTGTACGCCGGCTCCTTCAGCCAGTAAAGCGAGATGAGTGCCGCAACCCCAGAGTCGGTCACGACTGGACCTAATGGTCAGGGGTCCCTTTACCTTTACCTATTTAAATGGCAAGACTTGATCCATCACATGTGGGTATCCCATAGCTCCCCTTGGGCTCAAGGAGGTCCTTTTCATTGGCACCCCCAGCTTAGAAAGGCCGCTGGAAAAATAGATGCACCCTGTCTAACATTTAAGTGGCATTTCATGGCAAACAACGTTGGTTTTATTTTAGGGAGAGGACTTCCCCGCCTGTCTCTCTTATTCCACCTTTTATGAACACGCCACATTTTAACACCAAGGTGTTAGCCCATGTAAAAGGGTAGGTTTGACTTTAAATGAATATTTGAGGCTGGGTGCCATAGAGAAGAAAGCAATTGCAGACAAGAAGAGGAAAGGGGTGGGTTTTCCTCAGCAAAGTGTGGAGAGAGAAAGAGAAACAAAACAAACAAGCTGCCATTGCTGAAAGATTTTATGCTTCTGGAGGAGGCAGGTATGTAGGGGGAAACCTAGCATAAATCTCAGAGAAGACATCATAAAAATTATAATGGGCTGCCAACCAGGCGTGTCCACCAACCCGCGCTGCAGTGATTCATCCCCAAAGCGTTCTGCTGAAATGTAGGTTCAGCGACAGTCTGCGGTGGCGAAGACTTACTGCATTGGAGAAAGCTGCTAACAGAGTGATAGGGGCCCTGCCGCAGAGTGACTAACAGTATAGACAAATCAGACACATCATTTCCATCCTTCCACTTGGGTGACTATATCCTAAACATCAAGTCTTCTGGGTGCAATGTTCTGGGAAGCCAGGTCTGCATGCTCAACCCACATCAGACATTGCCAGTGGCTGAAGGCTTCATTTTATTGCAGCTAATGTATTATGGTTGTAAAAGTGTAAGATGAAACTTGAAAGATGGAAAAAATTAAGGCTGAAGCCAACAGCAAAAGGGTCAGCAGCACCAATTATTTATTTTTAGTTATGGTGCACTCTGAGTCTCAAGGTAGATAAAAAACATTTCCCTAAATTATACAGCTGTGTAATCACTTAGTGAAGAAAGTGAGTATTATTCCCATTTCTCAGGTAGGGAACTGAGATTGAAGGAGAAATATTTTACCCATTATGACTATGAAATTTATGTTTTATTTTACTGAGCTATTCTATCTATCTACATATCTCTATCATCTATCTATCTATCATCTATCTATTTATCTATCTATCTATCTATCTATCATCATCATTTCAGCATGAGGCTCACTTTCCACCATATCTACAAGCCCTCCCAGTTGGGACACAGCTGGTACTGTGGCCTAAACCACTGAGCCTCTTGGGCTTGCTGATAATAAGGTCAGCAATTTGATTCTGTGTGGTGGGGTGAGCTCCTGTTGCTTGGTCCCAGCTCCTGCCAACCTAGCAGTCTGAAAGCATACCAATGTGAGCAGATAAATAGGTACTGCTGAGGCGAGAAGGTAAACAGTGTTTCCATGTGCTCTGGCGTTCGTCATGGTGTCCCGTTGCACCAGAAGCAGTTTAGTCCATAGCTGTCAACTTTCCCCTTTTCTTGCCAGGAATCCTATTCGGAATAAGGGAATTTCCCTTTAAAAAAGGGAAAAGTTGACAGCTATGGTTTAGTCAAGGTGGGCACATGACCTAGAAAGCTGTCTGCAGACAAACGCCGGCTCCCTTGGCCTGAAAGTGGAGATAAGCGCTGCACCCCATAGTCAATTTCGACTGGACTTAACTGTCCAGGAGTCATTTACCTTTACCTTACTAGCCTTCCCTGCTAGTCTCTTCTCTTCATAAGCAAAACAAAAACCCTTAACTTTGCAAACAACATGGCTTACTACAGTGGAGGGGAATATCCAGCTTTAGGTCCAATCAGGTCCTGTGAGGCCATTTCAGCCAAGACACATTGGGTGTGGGGCAGGTTAAGATGCTGAAGGTGGGGCTGTTAGGCATGCTGACCACCCCAGGCTTACTAAAGCACAAGCAAGCAGGCTAGTGATACAGCCAATGGCCTGTCTACCCAGTAGACCCCAAAACTTGTTGAAATGATGTTTCTCATCATAGTCAGAAGAGTGGATTATCACTGGTCAGATCACGATTCCTGCAGGAAATTAAACTGGTAAGTCAGCTATCATCATTTGTGGACCAAGGTAGCTTGACTATTGTCATCGATGCACAGGTAATCTCCTGGTTGGATTACTGCAGTACACCCTATGTGGAGCTGTCCTTGAGGGTGGACTGGAAACTGTGAAAACCTGGAAAAACCTAAAGATGTTGTTTCAGCAAAACGTATTTACTTGGTTGCCCAGTTGCTTATTTTATCTGTAGACTTATGAGAACTCCATTTAGGAAACTGATGGAATTGGAGGGCACTTCCTTAACAGCATTTGGGGAAGTTGAACTATCCAGACACAAAGGATAGCAGCGCCACTACTTATTTTTTAGCTCGGCTCTATTCTGTTTCAATGGAATAGCTCATGTCTGTAAACTGAAGCACATTCATAATGTTTACCTGACCAGGGGCTTTATTTGGTTACAGTACAATAGGGCATCAGAGAGATTCCTTAGGAAGGGGAAAGCAGAAATAGATCCTTTCAACACTTTAATCCATCACTTCCAGAGAGCTACTATACACCTCTTGATCTTGGCAAGGAATTATTCCTGAAAGAGTAATAACAATTGCCCTGGTGAAATCAGAGTTCTTAAGTGAAAGGTGCTAATTTCCCTTAATCTAGTTTAACCTATGTTGGAAAGTAACAAAATAGTAATAGTATTTCTACAAATGAAAAGATTGGCAGCTCAGCAGCTAGCTAAATGTCCCTGCAGGCTCCCTTACGAAGACGGAAAAGGCTTGAAGATCAGATAAGAGTATTAATCCAATTTGGAATTCTCCTGGGAAGTTGAGGAAGTGAGCAGACTTTTGTTTTGTTTTGTTTTGTTTTTTTGTTTTCACCTTAAACCACCACACAGCATGGCAGAAAAATATTTGAGCAGAAAGTGATCTTCAGGTCTGAACTATATTTCAGCATGGTAGCTAGCAAAGAAGATGCAGAAAACCAACTAATGTTTGAGATCAAAGACCATCAGTTACATCCGAACCATCAGGTGGGATTTTCAAAGGCACCTGATCAATTTACAGTGGACACTCGGGTTGCTAACGTGATCCATGTGGGAGGCACATTCGCAACCCACAACATTCACAACCCACATTTGGGCACGTGTGGGTTGCAATTTGGTACTTCTGCGTATGCGCAAAGCGTGATTTAGTGCTTCTGCGCATGCATGACCGCCGAAACCCAGAAGTAACCCATTCCAGTACTTCTGGGTTTTGGCGGTCTGCAACCCGAAAAAACGCAACCTGAAGTGGCTGTAACCCGAGGTATGACTGTACTAACTAGTACTATTATTTGTGTATATTTGTTATGCTGATTTACTACTTATTCCCTGTCTTTTGATTTGTGAATCTGCAAGCTGAGTGCCAAATGATTTAAAATTACAGTACACAATATAAGCAACAGGCACAGCAAGTGGGGATGGGGGTGGTGGCAGACACCCATTACACAACAGATTTAAAACACCAGAATCAATTATCATTCAGGAATACAGAAGCTCAATAAGCACCAAAAGGTCTCTGGAAGAAAATATCCTTCATCTGGTAAATAATGATACAGCAAGATGAATCTTCCTAGGGAGGGAGTACAGTGGTACCTCAGGTTACAGACGCTTCAGATTACAGACACTTCAGGTTATAGACTCCGCTAACCCAGAAATATTACCTCGGGTTAAGAACTTTGTTTCAGGATAAGAACAGAAATTGTGCTCTGGCGGTGCAGCGGCCGCGGGAGGCCCCATTAGCTAAAGTGGTGCTTCAGGTTAAGAACAGTTTCAGGTTGAGAACGGACCTCCAGAACGAATTAAGTACTTAACCCAAGGTACCACTGTACAATAATTTGGATGCCACAGCTGAGAATACCCTACGAATGCTAGGCACCGGTGGTATATCAGATGGTGGAGACAGATGGCAAAGGCTCCTAAGGAAGATCTTAATGTGTTCCTGTTGTTTATATAGCAGAGATGTATCCTCCATGTATTGTGGACCCAGAGCCTGTATATGACTTGGAAGGCTAAAACCAGCACTGTCTTGGACCTACAAACTGTCTGGAAGCCAGAGAAAATGCTTTGAAACTGGTATTATGGTTTACTCTAGCCAGCACCCTGGCAATTGCATTCTGAACCCATCTCACCTTCTGAGCATTCTTCAAAAGTAGTCCCATGTAGGGTATGTTGCAGCAGCTGGTATAGTAGCTGAAGCTGGAGTGGGGGTATTTTATTTTATTTTATTTTATAAAAATACACTCTTAACTAGCCTAACATAAGCAACCTAACATAAGCAAATCCTTTATTCTTTATTCTCTGGAATAAATCCTTTATTCTTTGGAAAAAACACATTGTAAATGCACAGATTGAATCAACAGATTCATCCCAAAAGAATCTAATCAAAAGCTCTGAAAAAGCTCTGATATGTGTCTTGAGCTGATGTGTGAGAAAGGATTCCCCATTTACTTCAGCACT